TTTGATCTGTGAGTTAGCCGTGCCCTGACTTAGATCAGTCCAGAGGTTGTTTTAGGGTTTGATCTGTGAGTTAGCCGTGCCCTGACTTAGATCAGCCCAGAGGTTGTTTTAGGGTTCTATCTGTGAGTTAGCCATGCCCTGACTTAGATCAGCCCAGAGGTTGTTTTCAGGGTTCTATCTGTGAGATAGCCATGACCTGACATAGATCACCCCAGAGGTTGTTTCAGGGTTCTATCTGTGAGTTAGCCATGCCCTGACTTAGATCAGCCCAGAGGTTGTTTCAGGGTTCTATCTCTGAGTTAGCCATGCCCTGACTTAGATCACCCCAGAGGTTGTTTCAGGGTTCTATCTCTGAGTTAGCCATGACCTGACATAGATCACCCCATAGGTTATTTCAGGTCCTTTCAATGGCTTTCCTTCACTGAAACACATGAATATTCTACACAATATTGAGACTTTTTGTTCAAATGTTGTTAACTTTGCTATTACATCTGCTGTTACACATACTTGTCACCTTCTAAGGGCTGCAGGGTCCTTTGTATTAACACAGGGTTTTATTCCTGCAATCTTCAACTATTTATTCAAAGTATTTATTTATTTTTACTTCTAATTTTGAGTTGAAAATAAAAACCTTTGAACCTTTGAACTTTAAGACTAACTCGCGCAAACAAAATGTTAACCTGGAGTTCTTATTTTCTACGTCTGATTTATCCAACAGTGCTGACTTCTACACAGCTGCGCTAGACATAACGGGCAAACAAACCAAAGAAGAAGAGTACATTAGTTTGGCTCGTCGCGTCGGCAACGTCAAGAACGAGTTGGGTGTTTTCTTCATGAATCGTGCCGCGATGATGGTAGGAAATGGCGAAGGACTTGCCAAGCAGAGAGACATGTGGAAGAAGAGTTTCCTCTTCTTTGAGAGTGGTGTTAAAGCTTTTGAAACTATTAATGACAAGTAGGTCATTTGCATAACGGTTACTCATTCTTCCAAGAAAATAAGATTCTCTTCATGTATTATGCATGATGCATGCAGGGATGGGTGCATTCTGGTCTAGCTTGGGTACAAACATCTTTTGCTTATCATGCCTTATATGGTGTTGATCAAAGCTAGACCTGGGATAAGGAACAAGGTGCATCCTGGTCTAGCTTGGGTAAAAATAACACCAAATAAGGCATGATGAACGAAAGATGTTTGTACCCTAGCTAGACCAGAATGCACCTTGTTCCCTATCCCTGGTCTAGCTTTGATCAACACCGTATAAGGCATGATGAACAAAAGATGTTTGTACCCAAGCTAGACCAGAATGTACCTTATTCACTTATGTTAGTCAAATTGATTTGCTTGTGGAGGTCAGTCGAGTCAGCTAAAAGACAAGACCTTCACCCAGTCCAGTAATATGAATTTATCCAGTCCCCAACATAATATTAATGTTGTCTTTTCTTTAATTAGAGCCAACCTAGCACTGTTGCATTCCAATACCGGACGCTTAATGAGGTTGTGCGCGCAAGCGGTACGGACAGACAGACCTTCACAGGCCGAGTTCTCTTCAGAAGAAAAGACCTTCTATAAACAGGTGAAAACTTTGTAAATTTATACCTCATAAAAAAAAACCAAGGAGATGAAAAGTCCTAAATTTGTGCCGATTGATATATGGGCTATTTTCACGAATCGTACAATCCTTTAAAGTGACTACCTATTTTTGAACGTTCGATTTGAGCCCACGATGTGCGCGCGCTCAAAAACCGCGGAGAACCATACGCGTTTTGAGTTTCAACAGAGCAAAACCCTCAAATTTTGCACGGGAGACCCAATTTTTCTTTCCAGATTTGGAATCAGCAATAAAATTCAATTCGGAAAATCAAAGTTTTAAAAATGTTTAAGATTTTTTCCAAAAGTAGGCAGTCACATTAAACAATTTTGACTATCTTACTTATGTATATTGAAGAAATAGAAAACGCGCGCGCGTTCTGTGTGCAGTTATAAAGCACGCGGGGGTTGGCAAAACACGAGAGAATCCTAAGCCAGGAGAAGCATGGCATATAACGGAGTGTTTCTCGACACTTCTCCCGTGTTCTTCCAATCCCTAAGTGCTTTATAACTGCACACAGCACGGCAAGCAAGTTTTTTATTTCTTTCATAAAATACAAATGTCATTTTTAATCTGCGCTTTATAAATGTAATTTATTTATTATTATTATTTTTGAATTTTTTTTACAAATGTCGTTATTTTGAATAGGGATGACGCAACTGAAAGTGCGCGCGCGTGTTGTGTGCTTCCCCTCTGCCCCCTGTGTAGTTACATTGTGGGTAGCATGTGTGCAGATCTCGCACCCCTCCCCCTCCCCCCTCAGGAAAGTCTTACCAGTTTACGGATAACTTGATATTACACTACAGGCTATCGAGTTTTACAACCGAGCTCTGCAGAGTTTAGCCGAGAGGAAAGTATGTGCCGAGGTCTGGGACGCAGTCACGTGGGAATTATCTGGCGCATACTTCACCATGGCAACATTACTGCAAGATTATCCGCCTTTGTCGGTCCTGTCTCAGCAAGAGGTAAAGACGTCTCATTTTAACCTTTAAATTATTTAAATCTGTATATTGGGGGGTGGGGTAGGTATAACTTGCTGTTGACATTTTCCCCGACCCACACCCCTCCCCCTGACATATTTTAGGAAAATCCATAGACCGATATTTTCTTGGATTAAAGGTCGAGAAAGAGATAACAGAAATGATGATGAAGGCTTTGAAGTTATGCGAGCCCACAGGCAAAGGGTCAGTGGTAAACATTCGTCCTCAGTCTCCTGAAGATCTTGACAGAAGGCTTGGTTCCATTCATCATAGATTGGCTTCTCTTTATCATAATGCCTACAGAAACGAGGTGAGGTTTTAGTTTTCTATTCATTATTTTGTTTAAGTATTCAGTAAGCCTAACTTATACAGATTTACTGAGTGAAATGACGATGGTGATGATGATGACGGGGATGATGATGGTGATAATGGTGATGGTGGTGATAATGATGGTGATAATGGTGATGATGGTGATGATGGTGGTGATGATGGTGGTGATGATGGTGGTGATGATGGTGGTGATGATGGTGGTGATGATGATGGTGATAATGATGGTGATAATGATGGTGATGATGGTGATGATGATTGTGATGATGACGATGATGATGATGATGATGACGATGATGATGATGATGATGGTAATGGTGACGATGACGATGGTAATGATGATATTGATGGTAATGATGATAACGACAATAATGATGATGATGATGATGATGATAAGGATGATGATGATGATGTTGAAGACTATGATCATAATGACAATGTGAATGATGGTGATGGTTATGACGATGATGTATGATGTATGATGTATGATGTTGATAGCGATGAGGATGTAATGATGATGTTAAAGATAATGATGGTGATGATGATGATGATGATAATAATGATGATGATTATGATTATGATTATGATGGTGAAGGAATTCTTTTCATTTGCTTCGCCTAGTCATCCTGGGAATGAGAAGAAAACAATTGGGCATCTGTTCCTTTTCTGAGTCGCTAAGTTCAATGTTTATTTTCTCTTTGGGGATAGATAGTCATCCTTTCCTGGGCTTACTAGAATATCCTAGTGATTCCCTAAGAGAAGGGGGCTGGATTTTATATGACTGCTGGGAAAATGATCTCATTTATAATTCTCAAAATATATGAAAATGGTTCAACATTGCGTCCAAAGTTTTCTGACATCTTTCTAATCTTTATCACTTGCCAAGACTGGGTCATGGAATCTTATTCGAAAACTTATCTTTATGTTTCACTTAGACCCTAGACCAAGACAGAAAGAAGGTACGCTCTCTGGCAGAACTACACTACTCCAAGGCTTGCACTTATTTAAAAGCCAGTACTTTCCCATGCGAATGGATTAGAATTCACCTTGAACGCGTAGCACTTTGTGAACATCAGGTCTCTCTTCACGGTAGTGGCTCTGCTGCTTCGGTCAAAATTCTACAGACTGCTCTTGATTTTGTTCTCGAATCTAGAAAAGCGCTAGAAGTTTTGACTGCCAGAAAGGGAGAGAATTTTGAGAAGAATATCGAAGGGAAGAAATTCGTGAACGTCAGTGAAAATGATGAAGAAAATTCAGCATTGATTGAGAGTGAAGCTCGATTAAAAGGATTAGAAAATGAAAAAAATTGTATCGAAAAGATAAAACATTCTGAAGACGAAGCGGCAAACGTTGTAATGGAAGAAGAACAAAAGAAAAATAGGAGAAGAAATTCTAAAGCAGAGAAGAGTACGACAGACGTTGACGAAAGACGAAAGCCAGGCGAAGAAAATACAACGGTTTTAAATACCGATAAAAACTCTCAAGAATTGAGTTCGGAATACCTAAATGAGCTGAAAATCCTTATTCCAATCCTAGAGGGAAGACTTAACTACGTACTGAAAGAAATAGTGAAGTTTTGGAACACTAAGAAGGGAAAAAATAAAGAGTTAAACGTTCACGAACTGGAAAGAGCAAAGCGAATGTATTCCATGGCTCTGAGGGAAAGCGTTGGGAAAAACGAAGAAGGAAACTATGTAGAAAAGGGAATAAAACTGGTGCAAACACTGGAGAAAATTGAGAAAATCAAATTGGAGGCTCAATAACAATGTTCAAGAAACCTCACGACTCTCAAGGAATGTTTATTAGAATTTTTTGGCAGCATTTTCGGCTGAACTGTGGTAGAAAATATGTTGGCGTACAGCACGTTTGCAGTAGCGCTGACATTGAACTGGCTTCCTTGAAAAGCCGAAGAGCTAGGAGTTTGCTGCTCTCTAAATTTTTTTCCGATTTTTTTTGAGACAATAATGTTGAGTTGGCACACGGACAATTTTAATGTTTTTATTATTCTCAGCAATTACAATTTCCTGCTTCAAGATGACGAGGAACAATTATTAATGACAAAACTGTTTGGTTGTAACAAGAGAATATATTTACATTCGTTTGTTGTAAGGCCCTGGCTAAACGAGGAAACATGTTTCCCTAAATGTTTCCTAAGGTGGCAAAACTGTCAGGAAACATCGGGAAACAATGTTTCCATGCGTCTTGGAAACATGAAATGCTTCTGCCGCACAGCAAAAACATTTTTTGCGTTTTGGAAGCAAAATTTGTTGCACGCAGCAATGTTTCGCATGTGGCTAAACTGGGAAACATCGAGGAAAACATGCGCGCAGAAAACATGTTTCTGTCTTCCCTGGGCACAGAATACGAACGAATTTCTTCGTGGCATGGGTGCCGTAGTGGTTTACTGCTCGCCTCTCACCGTCGTGGTCCGGATTCCAGCCCAGGCTCGGACTGGATCATATATGAGTTGAATTCGTTTAATGCAGTGTTCGATCCCTTGCCACGAGGGTTTTCTCTGGGATCTCCAGTTTCCTCCCTCCGTAAAAAGCAACATGTGAGTTGAGTGTTGTATGTTGTAAATATAGAATGTAGTGGTAGTGCATGGGAAGGGAGCCTCACGAAAGAGCCCCGTACGGGAAGTGATGGTTGTAAAACACAGACTGCCGGAAATGCGTCAGTTTTTTTGACGATTTCTCAACTAAAATGAATACGACGTTTGCATAATGGTGTCATTTGACTCCTACTACCATAATGCTTAGCGAATTTTCTTTCTTATTTAAATTTGCATTCCCTCATGGGAATAGTATGACAGTTGGTGCTAATTAACTGAACAAGGGAAAGTGTGCAAGGAAGTTTGGTAGTTGAAGTCGATGACAAAGTCCTATTCTAATCTTAATGAAACATTAATGATAAAAAGGTAAATTTAACACCTTGAAAAGATGTAAAAACTTACTGACGTTTCGGACGCTAGTCCTTCGTATTCTACTCCGACGAAGGACTAGCGTCCGAAACGTCGTTAAGTTTTTTCATCTTTTCACAGTGTATAATTTACCCTTTTATCATTACTGTTTCATTAGAAACACCGACGCAGCTCACACTGGTGTTTAGCTAGTTATCTCTTCTAATCTTAATGAAAGGGGTTTATCTATGAGAAGCGTCCAGCGAATCTAGATGAAAAGGAATATAAATGAATGAATGAATTAAAGAAAGAATGAATGGAATATAACGCCTGAAGATAGTTCAAGCCCGCGATGCTAACTGCTACCATAGTTCCCAGTCCCTCTCGTCCCAGCCAGGGAAGGTTTCAAAATGGCGGAAGAGGGTTCATCATCTGAAGTCGATGTCTTGGAGAGTCTAAAATCAGAGCTAATACTAGACTACTGCTCTTATAAACTATGGAATGAGTTCAAGAGAAGTTCACAGATGACCAAAGGCTTGTTAAAAATCCTTAAAGGTTAGAAAATATAGACAAAATTTCAGTTTGTTTTAGTAAATGGGGAATGTTTTTAGCGCCAAATTCAAAGCGTTGGGAAGCGTTGTGTTGACAGACCAACGATTTGATTTGGTTTTCGTTGTTTAACCTACTGTTCTTGTCGCTTTTAACAAAATCGTGGATGCTCATTACATTGGAGGTTAAAATTAGATGGTTTTCATGGTACGTAGCCTTGTTGCAGAGCAAAACAATACGAAAAAATTTCCTTGCAAAAAAATCGATTTTCCTTTCACATACCACCAGTTATCTATTGAAGTGTTTATCAAGCATATCGTTCTACAGGCATGCATTTTTTAGCACAGAAAAGTTAAGAAATGGTTCAGATAAAAGTAATCTAATATATCAACTTTATGCAGAAAAAAATCAACTCCTAAATTCCTATTCGATCACTGAATGAGGGCCACAGGTTTGTTAGCTTCTCGCTATTACCACCATTTGCATTGCTGCGTGGCCACCCCAAACAAAAATCGTGATGTGCACTTTGCAATAGACTGCTGTCAATCAAACACATTGGCATGTTTTACACGCTTGTGTGATTCAATAGGCGCCAAAACTTGTCGATTGTGTACAAGTATTATGAGCCACACTCACTGGGCCTATCCGGGCAGATCCAAATGCATGTGAATGACGGCAGTCTATTACACGTCATTCTTTGTCTGGGGTGGGCGCGTAGCAATGCAAATGGCGGTAAGTGCTACCCTTGTAAAAAAGGTCAGTTTTTTAGTGCACACAACATTGTTCTTGCTCTCTCAAGAATTAGCGTGGAACTTGTTTAAGTGGAAGACAATCTACATGTAGCAAATCTTACCACGAACTTAACTTACACATTGTGATTGGCTGAATTACTGGGAGACAAAGGAATGTCATGGCTTGTCAAACCGACTGCATGTGCTGTAAGTCAGTGCCATACATTTCGTTAACCAATCTTATGGGAAGCCATTTCAATGTTACAACATGTCGTACCATGTACATGCTGTAAGTCATTACTGTATGTTTCCCACTCATACGAAAGCCATTCTTATAGGAAGCTATTTCAATGTTACAACATGTCATTCTTATAGGAAGCTATTTTAATGTTACAACATGTTGTACCATGTGCATGCTGTAAATCATTACCGTACATTTCCCACTCATACGAAAACCATTCTTATGGGAAGCCATTTCAATGTTACAACATGTCATACCATGTACATGCTATAAGTCATTACTGTATGCTTCCCACTCATACGAAAACCATTCTTATAGGAAGCCATTTCAATGTTACAGCATGTCATACCAGGTACTTGTTATAAGTCATTAGCGTACATTTCTCACTCATATGATAACCACTTTGATGTTACGGCATGCTGTAATGTGTACATGCTGTAAGGCATTACCATATGTTACCAACTCATATAATATCCATTCTTATGGGAAGCCATTTCAATGTACATGTAACAGCATGTCGTACGTACTGTCAGTCAGTACCATAGGTTTTCCATATGATAATCATACTCATTGAAAGCCATTTCAGTGTTATAGCATGTTATATTTTGTGTAGTTTCAGAAATTATCCATACTCACCCCACACAGGAATTTTTTTGGAATTTCCAAAGAGTGGGGGGATCAGAGAAAGAACAAAAATTATAGAGTTTGTATGGAAGGAAATTGGAATTTCTGAGGGTAGGGGGTGGGGTCTTTAAAAATCCTCTGTGAGGGGGGTAAGGATAATTTCTGGAACTACACATTATAATATTTGTGTTTTAATTGTAAATCAGTATCATATGTTTCAAACTCCTATAAACCCCACTCTATTGGAAATATTATTTTAAAATAATTGATATGCATGTTGATTTTATGAGAATATAAATTTATTTTATGCTTCAAATCCACAGATGTTTATATATGCAAGGAAAATAATATATTTGATGAAGAACTCAAGAATAAGTTAAACTGCACAAGATTCATATGTGGTTTGTCTGAGGCCAGAGTCCTTACAGATGACGGCAATGTTAAATATAAGGATCTACATCCAAACTGTCTGTCACATGCAGAGGATGTGTTGAAGATGTATCCCTTCTCGGCATCGGAGCAATCTCATTTTAGGAATATGATGAAATTACAGGTAAGAGATTTTTTTGACAGGGATAGCATTCAACAGCCAATGGCTTAAAAAACTGTGGCCAGTGTAGTGATGAGTCAGGGCTAGACTAGGAAGACATTTTCTTCGCACTGTCATTTATTAAGACTAATTCATACATGTGGTGATGCGTGATACAGGGCTCGAAATAGCGGCCTGCCAATGGCCAAATGACAGGCCAAATTTCAGGTTTGGCAGGCAAAAATAACGATGCACTGCCAGATGAATAATAAAATGACATGCAAAATTTACTGGAATGACCTCCTTTTACCCTGCTCCTTTACTTTGGCAGGCTGAAAAAAATTTCTATTTCAAGCCCTGGTGATATTTACATTGTTTGAGATAATCGTGCATTGTAAGCTAATCTGTGATTACTACATCCCTCCCTTCTCCGATGGATACCAAATAAATTATCATATTCATACTAATAATTGGTTATAGGCCCTTTGCAGCTAAGCAATGACGTGCTGATTAATTCACTGAGAGCAAATGAATGAACATTTTGATTCCCATGAGTGAAATATACTGGAGAGCAAGGGCCTACTAATCAGTTCATAGCTTCATTCTAAAAACAACAGTAACTACAGCCAGGGGTTTCATTAAATTTTGAAATGAACACTACAAACGTGAATTGTACTCAAATGTGATCAGCCGGCAAATCTCGCCGGGCTGATGTTTTCCACTCCCCTAGTGATTCCTATCGTATCTTGATTTTTTAGCTCATCGTATCATCATACAGAGCTGGCAAACTAAGCAGAGCAAGGAAGATTTTCCTACAGCTGTACCCCGAAACAACTGAAGCCGATGAAGTAAGCTAGATCCGTGAACCTCTATTTTGTGTAACAATGTGGGGACTCATAGAATAATTTATCATTTGTCACTAGCTAAAAGTTAAAGTTTAAAAAAAAAATCAGAGTCCTTGATAGGAATTGAACCCATGACCTTCGGGAGGGAAGTCAGATGCTCTAACCACTGAGCTACATAAAAGACTCAATGTGGGGACTTGTTTGGGTTCCCTGTGTATCTTGTAACACAGGAAGCCCATGGTTTCATATTCTATTCGGAGTTGCCACTGAAAAGATATCGTTTACATTTATTTTACTTCTGATATAGGAATATCAAGATGAGATTCAAGAGCTTCTTGATTCTGAAAATGAAACCTTGAAACAAAAAATTTTGCTTCGATTCTCTTATGAGAAATTTCTGAGAAATGTTTGTGATTTTCTCACTCCTCTGTGGGAAAAATATGACATACCTCTTCTTGAAAAGGTAAGGAAAAGTAGGTTAGAATATGTACTTATTGACTGAGTGGGAGGGCCATTAGGGAAAATATTTGGCTCGAGGTGATGCTGTACGGATTAAGCGCAAATGACCGAGAGCCAAATATTTTCCCATACGGCCCGACCTTACTCAGTCAATAAGCATTTTATCATATGACCCTAAATAAAAAAGAAATTTTAAAAGTTATAAATTATGTCAATATGGTCCCAGGACTCAAGCAGGGCCGTACGGATTCATACGGCCCTGCTCGCTCAAAGCCGTACGGCCCTGCTCAGGCCATTTTCCCATAGGTTCTTCTAAAAGCGCACGCCCGGGCAGATACGTGTCATATGATAATATGTACTTATTGACTGAGTGGGAGGGCCACATGGGAAAATATTTGACTCAAGGTCATGCTGTGCGAACCAAACGAAGCCACCATATAACCCAATTTTTGTTGAAAAATCCTACTAAAATTGGTAAATACAGAGAGCATAAATGAGAAGGCCAGGAAGGGTTTTTCTGGCCTGCTCACGTCAACCTGTCCGACCCCCATCACATGACATTTTCTAAAGGTTTTATTAAAGCACACAGGGCTGTAAGGGTCATACGACAATATAAATTCCACCAGCCCAATTCTTAAGAAAATGAATGCTCCTAAAAATGAGCACTATGTATGTTTTATATATATATTCATTCATTCTTCTATATACCAGTATTTTAATCTATTCTCCATGAGTCCACCCTTTCGACAACCCATCTATTCACTCACTCATCCATCTATCAACCCATTCATTCGTTTTTTCATTGTCTCCCTTTTTTTCTGTTTAGTTTAAAGGTGAATTGAGTAAAGTGGACGATGGAAGGTATAGCTGCAGTATATGTCTCTCTTTTTAGCAAATTTATGATATAATTATGAATATAAGATGATAATGATTACAATAAAATGATAAAAAGAATATATATAATGATGGTGATGATGGTGAGAGTGATTGTGATGATGATGATGATTATAATGGTGATGATGATTGTGATGATGGTGAGGATGATGTTGAAGGTGGTGATGATGATTGTGATAATGATGGTGATGATGATGGTGACGATTATGATGATGGCGATGATGGTGATGATGATGATGATGATGATAGTAATATGATTTGAGAAGAAATATAGTAAATTAAGGATTATAAATAATTATGAATGATGATGTTGATAAAGTTGATGAATGATGATGATGGTGATGAAAGATGATGGCAATGATGAAAGATGGTGATTATGGATAAGGATGAAGAATAATGATGGTGATGGTAATGATAATGATGAAATAGTTATAGCATTTCCTCTTGTTTTTTCCTGTTTAGAATCCCTGGGTTTTTCCTCAAAGCATATCATGACTGTAGTGTCTTTAAGAATGAAGATTGTGAGGCATCCTGGCAATCTATCATTAATGAAACTCACCCAGATATAAAAGCATTTAAAAAGAAACTAAAGAACAAAAAAGAAACTACTACAGACAGTGCAAGTGAAAACAGGAAGGTAAAAGCTACAATAGACCCTTTTCCAGTTCCAAATTACCGCTGTGTTTCTTGATTACGCACTCATTTACTCGGGCTAAGCCTCGATTTTGTGTAGAATATTCACGTTTTCCGGTCAAATTCCGTCAAGTTTCAAAATTTTCGTATTGTTGAACTTGTGCATTCTTTGCTTTACCGTTGGTATTTGCGAGTAATTAGACACTGATTCGAGGCTTAGCCTGAGTAAATGAGTCTGTAATCAAGGAACACAGCGGTAATTTGGAACTCGAAAAGGGTTTATTCAGTCTGATTGGCTGACTAGTAAAAAAATAAGTTAGGTGACCATGGTTGGGCACATCGCACTGTAAGTAACATTGATGATAAACGTCTTTTGATTGTTTGAAACAGAGTGCAATGGATCATGATAGGTCACTATCTTCTGATGTCGACGAGGAGATCATGAAATCCAGACAAATAATTATTAAGCTGACCAAATCATCTAAGCAGCTCAAGTAAGATGACTTGTGTTTGTTCTGGATTAATATTTGTATAATTATAAATTATGAATATTATTATAAATATATACAGTAATGATAAAAAGGTAAATTATACACAGCGAAAAGATGAAAAAACTTACTGATGTTTCGGACACTAGTCTTTTACTCCGACGAAGGACTAGCGTCCGAAACAACAGTAAATTTTTCATCTTTTCACGGTGTATAATTTACCTTTTTATCATTACTGTTTCATTAGAAACACCGGTCAAAAGAAAAAGGCCACAAACCATTTATCAAAAAGGAAATATATTTAAGAATTTTAGACCTGCTACATGAAGGAAGTATTAGAATTAAACATTTTTGGAAAGTTTGGAAGTTCTGAGCAAAATGCGAACGAAGTTATGGCAAAATTTAAATGTTGACATTTATGTGTAATTTTTCTCCGAGGGGTGTTTTCTTATTGTTTTAGCTTCTTATAACTTCCTAAGGATTTGATCTTTTTCTTTCAAACTTTAATGATGCATTATTAACACTTATAGTACACTCAACAAATTACTTGACTCTGATTGGTCGAGAGGAGTACAATTGTAGCATTAATTGTACTCTGTAGGAGTACGGAATTAAGTCGCTATGGCAACATGGCCAAAACAATGTCAAAACAATTATTTTCTATCATTCTGTACTTAAAAAACACATAAATAAAATTTTAAAGCCGTAAGGACTAATCTTTTTTTATGCATTTCAGTTGCGCGATGGACTGAAAATCGGCCGCCAAATAGACAAAGATGAATGGCGTCGCTTCGCATTTTTTACTGAAATTTTGTTGAGTGAACTATAAACAAAAAATCGCACGATCTTCTTGTACAATTTGGAA